GGAGGAGAGACACACAGAAGAGAATCGGGCGAGGGAGAGAGAGAAAGAGAGATAGACGGATGTATACGAGGGAGAGTGAGAGAGAAGGGTTAGGGAAAACGGGATAAGATGGAATGAAGGTGAGTACATGGTACACCGCGGAGATACACGGAGGCAACAGAGCGTCGAAGGCGAGAAAGAGCGAGAGGAAGACCGCTGGAAGCATTGCTGAAAAGAACGAATAGATCATTCTTCCTCCTCTCCTCACCCGTTTCTATCTTGCTTTCTCTTCACAATTTTCGTCCTCTCTCTTTTCCTTCTCTCTTGTCTATCTCCCTCTTCCTCCCTCTTTCTCTCGTTTTACTTTCGTTTTCTCTTTCCCTCCGTTCGTTTGCCTCTCACTGCAATTAGGGAATCGCCCCGGGTATTTTCGTATTCATCGCAATGCAACCAACGCTGACATGCACCGCCGCGGCAGCGGCGGCGGCGGCGGCGGCGGCAAAGGTGCGCAATGGGTTATTTTCTATACATTGTTTCGCGAAAATGTGGCGCTCGAATTCCGCTGAAGGGCTGAACTCAGGCGGTGCGTTATTATCGGCCAGCTGTAATCGGGATGTGATCGTTTTACTTTCGCAAGAAATGGAGCCCACTATCGTAGCCTAAGCGTATTCTCGTAATGCAATAATAAGTTTGATAATTACATATAAAATTTTAATTTTAATAGATTAATAAAAGAGGCAAAAATATATTTCCATTATCTAACTTTTCTTTAAATTTACAATACTTTAATTCATTTTATATATATATAAACATGAAATTTATAAAATATCATCCCAATCGTAGTAAAATATTACGTTATTCTTCTTTATCTCGTATCTTTTTTTTTTATTAATTTTTTCATCATAACATTAAAATACTTCAATTATCTTTCAGTTTTTAAATAATTTTATAATATCAGAAAAGTATGATAAACGGAAAAACATTATACACACGTATAAAATTTTACATGTTATCTAGCTTTTAGAAATAATTAAACAGTTAAGCTTTTCTCTCGCCGGAATATTATTAAAGTGACAAAAAAATATTGCAATCTAAATGTTACAAGGATGCCACAGTCGTTTTTACTGTTCCTTTCCTATTCTTCTAGCAATGATTCTTCCGATGAAGCGACTGATTTTTTCTTCGGCACCTGGGGCGTTGGTGGTGAGACGCCCGCGAAAAATGGACGTGCGCTCAGGTACTTCATTAATATTTCATTTCGTTGCTTATCGTTACCACGGTACCGCGCCGCGGAGGCCTGCTCCGGGGCATCGTTACTCCCTCCAAGCGAGCGTGCACTAGGAGAGAGAACGTCGCGGAGGAGGTGAGGAAGGAGGCTACGTTAGGGAGGCAAGAGCGGGCGGTAAAGAAGGACGCTTTATTGCAATTGGGATGACATTCTAGAAATTTTACGTCGTGGAAACACGCAGAGACAGCCGCGGAGATTCAGAGATTCAGAGAGAAGTAATGACGTGCCGGGAATGCCGAGAGAAACAAAGTGAAGACCGAATAAGGCCACCGAAAATGACTCATAATAATCCAACCGTATTTAGATATGAGATTGCAGCGAGGGAACACCATCGACGCGAAAAAACTGAGATTAAAAAGACCGTGTGTCATTAATGGGCAGGCATTCTGAAGAGGGATAATGCTAAAGACAAATCACTTACGATCATTTACGAAATTGAAATGGATATCTGGGAGATTTATAAATCAATCATTTATATGTTAATGTCTAACATAAATGTCTCTTTTATTTTACTGGTAGTTTTAGAAGAGAATGAATTTTGCCAGGAATTACACACATCTTTGCATGTAGATATTTTATAGAATAATTTCAATATCGGCAAAAGTTCATGTAAATAGCGAAAAAGGCGCCTCGGAGGGGGCGAAGAAGAGAAAGAAACTGTGCCTAAGAGAAGAAAGCGGGAAGAAGGAGAAGAAGAAAGAGAGGGAGAAGAAGCGAGAGACGGAAGGGCGAAGAATCGCCAGAGGCCAGGACGGAAAGAGGGAGCAGAAAACGAGGGAGAACTACGGTCTGCCTTGGAGTCGCCCGAGGCGTCACGGAGCGCATTGTCTCGCTAGATATCCTCGGGGCAACATAGATCCTTCTCTTTCTCTCTTTCCTCATCCTTCTGGCTCGCCCTTCGCGCGACCACCTCTCTCACTGGGACACGAAGGTGGAGAGGACGAAGCTCGCCGCTATCTTCTCTCGTTTCCGAGCCCGCAGCGGAACGACCGTGTCTCTACTTCATGGCGGGGTGTAGAGCACCGCGCGTCTACCCTCGGGGGCATCTCTCGCGCACAACGGATAGGGATGTAAACGCGAGAAGAAGAAAGGGGAAGACGCGGCGTCCTCCTTCTTCTTTCACGTCGCGCGAACCCGCGCCTTCACCCGCGGGCCAACCGAACGACTCGCGTACACGTATACATATTTTAATACGTACGTATGGGTGCACGCGCGCGTACACGCATGCATGCATACGTGCGTGCATGCAGGCAGGCGGGCGGGCAAGCAGGCAGGCAGGCGAACAGGCAGGCAGGCAGGCAGGCAGGCAAGCAGGTATACGGTGGTACCACATCGCATCGCCGGCATTTGCCTG